AACTCTGCACTTTGCTGTGTTGAACCTCATCAGGTTCACCCGGGCCCACCTTTCTAGCCTCTCGAGGTCCCAATTCAGTAAGGTTCATTGAGGAAAAAGAAAACACATTTAATGTGGAACTGGAGCCTCATCTCTTTCTCCCATCCTTCCTCAGCTCAGTCCAGTTTAGATGATAGCTAAGATAACTCCTGAAGGCACACTCATAATGGGTGCAAATCATTGCATAATAGGGGCCTGTGAGTCAGCATTTTAAGAAATTAGAAATTAGAAATTTCCATTTAATATAGTATGTCATCAGCTCTACTGCAAGAGAGAGATTCATGCGGTGTCCTCTTGTCACATATATGTCATCATTCATCTATGCTATAGGCTCCATCTAAGTTTAGAATTTGGCCCTCAAATGGTATCCTGCATACACACCTACAATTTACTGTGGGTAGTTTTGCCTGGGGGGTTCTTTAGTTCTGCTGTATTTCTCAGGGATAAAACTTTGGTCTTAAATATTTGAAAATATTAACCTGTGTTGGTACTGTGATTTGGACTGAAGATGCAAAAGTAGAAATTTACATGTGATCTTGGCTTCCTTCAGAATCACTGCGTGGACATCGTTCAGGGGACCAAGTGAAGCAGTTGTTGCCTCGAATGACTTCCTTGTTTGCTGAAGGAATTGGGGTGAGTGGGTGGAATGGAGAAAAAAGAACACTGGAGGAGTGGAATGGATGCTATCCTGAGGAACTAGAGTCTGTCTTCAGCAGAAAATTCTTGAGTGACACAGGGAAAGTTATTGAAACCAAAACTGTAATTGTCTGCTTAAGCTAAAGGTCTAATCTCCTTCCTGACTGCAGCTGAGGAAAAGAGGCTGGCTCCGTCCAGAGCACACATTTTGGAGTCCTCCTGTCTCTCCCAGCTAAAATTTCTGAATTGAAAACATAAAGATAGAAATAATATCCTCTCCCACAGCACGCTTCTTCTTTTCTGAGGGGTGAACTCAGCACACGTAGAGAGAGATTGGCACATGCACCAAACACTCCAAATGTAAAAGGTTGTTAGCAGACCTTCTGTTCTGAGCACATAAAGCAATAAACACTCAGAACACCGAGTGCCTCTCCAGACCTAGCAAAGTCATGCGAGATTGCACTTCCACCTCTGTGTACCACATCCAAAGAGCAGACAGTTCTCTGTGTTCCCAGAAGGGGACAGGTGCAGCACTCAGTTACAATGGTGACAGCAATGTGGACAGTACAGAAACCTGCAAGGAAGTGAATTATTTACTCTGTGGATGCAACTCCGAGGCAGACAGCTGGCCTGAAAAAATCAATAGAAACCATCAGGATGTGGCTAAGTAATAACACCGGGTCTCGGCTTAATAAACCCCTTACTAGAGGCTGGTCTAGCAGCTCAGAGAGATGCATACCATCTGTGCAATGAGCAGCAGCTCAGCTGCGTGCATCCGTAAGCTGCAGCACACTGAACACCACAAACACCTTTCTGGCTGCAGGCTGTGTCATTAGCAAATCTATTTCCATTTCCTGCACGTGTTCTGAAAACAAAGGTCACACGCTTTTCCAGCGCACCACAAGTTACTCCCTTTACGCAGCCAGTAAGGATTTCTCCCCACAAGGCGCGGCGCCCCGGGTGAGGCAGACCGCCAAGGCCACGCAAAGCCCCGAGCGCCCGGAGCGGAAACGAGAACTCGAGGCGGGATGGGGCGCCGGCCGCCAGGGGGCGCCGTAGCACAGAGCACCGCGGCGCCCTGCGGAGGAAGCGCCCCCTCCTGCCCTGCGCCCCGCCTCAGCGCTGAGCGCGCTGCTCTTGTGCGGAGCCACGTCCGCTATGGTGCTGCTCCAAAATTACCTCCAGCGTACAGTGCGGTGTTAAAAATGCTAAGTGTGAATGCAGAAAGTGAGAAGATTGTGGCAACTTCATCTCCCACGTGAGAAGGGAATCCTAATGGCTCTGGTTCGTTGTATTCTGGGAGCTGTAGCTGTAGAGCAGAGTGGCAGTGGAAGGGAAGCGAGCAGTGCCATAAGCATGCAGAGAGCTGGAGTACTTTCACCAGAATTCCTTTTTTTTTTTTCTTTTTCCCTTGCTAACTTACATTTTTCCACATAACTCTGGGGACATCCTATTAGCAAAGGCGATGCTTTAACTGTGACCCAACACTTGGTCACACTGCAAGGTACGAATAAAGGTGAATGTGATTATCCTCTGTGCTATGATTATTCTCTGTGAACGATGTAAAAAATAAAGGATACAAATGAACTGAACGGCTTGAAAATTCTCCACATTGCTCTTAATCATGTTATTCGTGCAGAAAGGGCTTATTTTCACTCATGCTTTAAACAGCTGCCTGAAAGTTCTCTTCCGTCTGGCAGCTTTTGGTGCCAGCTTCATCAACTGCCTTCCAGAGTCTGTTCAATAATTGAAGTGCATCCAGCAGTATTTCATGTCACTGGCCTTTAGGCTCCCCAGCTTTTACTGTAATCATTATGTAAATTTTATATGATTTCCAAATGCATTCTTGAGAGTATTGCCCCGATTCTGTACTCATCTTA